TTGAGAGTTTAGGTTCCAAAACCAGAACTGAAAATGGATTCTGTCTGTTTCAATGCCAGAACCTGCGCCTGAGGTAAGTGTCGGCTGGAATATTTTGGAAGAACTGAGATGACTTTCTGCCCTTCTTGAAATCTTGCAGGAAAATGAACTGCTGGAGTTGATTCTTAGCCTTATGGTACCACATAGATTAGGGTGCGTGCCAAGGAATTTTGAAGGTGGTTGATGTGGTGCTTGCAACAAGAAGCTCTTGTATTTCTCATGTTGTAGAACAGTGTCTTCATCACAGAGCTGGTGGTACAGAACCATGTGGCATATCTTCCTTTGTGTGTCTGAGTCTTGGGCCCCTGTGCTGACCCGCTGCTCAGAAGAAGAGCAAGCATGAAGAGACACAGTATTTTCTCTTCTACGGGTTAGAATGCTCAAAACCTGAGATGGTTTCAGGAAATTTTTAGGGAATTTTTTTTCCCCTATCCATGAACAAATGTCTTGATGCCTTTTTGGTATGCAGATTTTGATTTAGGCACTTCTATAATTTTAGACAGTTTAATTAAGTTGTGTTTTAAATGCCTGCATATTCTTCTAGTCCTCTTTCCGCAGCAAATTTCTGTGGAGGTGGGGGGTCTGTTCTCTAGTGGAGCACTTTTAAAGCCCTTGTAGTCCTGCACAGGGGTAAGGATTTCTGTGCCTGAATTTATTGTCTGGGTCTGGGTACAAAACCACATTATGAGAAACCTTATTTAGGAAGAAACTCATTCACTGAAAGGGTTGGTGTTTTTTTTCTTCTTTGGACCAAGTACCAAAGCATAAATCTCTGTCCCTTCTTAGACTCAGTCTTAGACCAATGTGCCTGGGAAACGGCTTCGGTTCCTTTAGAACCTGAGCCTTCTTTTTGCACATACTATGCCTCTGTAGGTGAAAAGACCAGAAGAGGCCACACTACTGTGCAGAGTATGCATCTGAAGGTCTGCTGGGCTGTCACTGCTGGTAGCAGTGTCTTATGAAACTGCACTGTCTTGAACACCACAGAGACTTGTTGGTTTTGGCGTCTGTCGCCTGGAGTGTGTGCGGCAGTGAGAGCAGCAGCGAAGAGATGGCATCAACAGACTTGTCCTGGAAGCCGGGAAGCAGTGGTGGCAGCCTCTGGCTCTCATGGGTGAGGAGGATAGGCAGAAGGACAATGAAAGAGAGCCTCAGTCATAGAGACAGTGAGGAATTTGGGGAGAGGATAGGGTAGAGAAAGTACATGCATGAATCATAAGAAGTATGAATTTGTGGTGGAGTGGTGGTCAGGTGGGTGATGAAAGCAGGAAGCAGAGGAAACAAATGCCAGTTCTTCCAGTAGCTAGTGGTAAACTGGCACTTCAAGCTGGTTGGGTCCCAGCTGATCAGAGGCTAATATGTATGATAATACAATCCTCAAAAGCACAGGCAGAAACAGCTTCCTGACTTTTCCCAGAGAGCTGGACAGCAAGTGCTACCTTCTTATGTGTGTGTTGCCCGAGGACAGAGGCAATTTATTTCTGCCAACCCTTAATCCCTGCTGCCGCCTTCTCAAAAAAAAAAAAAAAAATCTCTGAATTGCTTATACAGTCTTTGCTACAAATTTATGAGTAGCATGGCTGTGTGTGAATGATGGGAGCATGCTGTAGTTATAAGCTGGAGAAATTAAGTGAGCAGATGAGGAGGTAATGAACATGATACAGGTGCAGGCACACAAGAAGGAGAAGAAGCAACAGAAAAGAAGAAACTAAACAGGGAAGACAACACAGAAAACATGACAAGATGAATAAGAAAGAAATTTGTAATAGACTGGCTAGGTGTATACTGAATAGATGGAAGTAAACCGATTTGGATATGAGTAATTTCTGCTTAAATGACTGTATGAAACTTTGTATTCTGTTCTTGTTTCTGTGGCATGGAAGAAGTTGATTGTCATCAGTCAAGCTATGTCTTGTATCTGAGGCCGAGAAACACTTTTCTTTTGCTCTTGATTCTGAAAAAAGCATCTGTGTGATGAGCTGTTCCTGTTAATAGTGGGTGCTTCTGACAGAAATGCTTGGCAGTCAGAATAATTGTGAGGTGATTTATGTCCAACTGGACATCACAATTATGTGTTAGTGTAGCTGTCTTTAAAATATAGAGGCCTTCCAACTGAACATCACACAAATATGAGACCCCTCGGAAAATTATTAGACTGCTGCTGCATTTCCTCTAGTTCAATTTCTGGCTATATTTCTCCCTCAACTTGTAAGAATACATTTTCTCCTATACAAATTAGGTGGTTAGCTGTGAAGAGTTGAGAAAAGTTGACCTGGAAAAATGGTGAAGTCTAGAAAATACTTGCTACAGATTATGGTTGTAGGTTTGTGTTTTGGAGTGGTGGTTAATTTTCTTTTGTATAGCAGTTTTCCCCATGAAGGATTAATTGATGTAAATGTTAGTTGACGTAATTTGGAAAGGTTATGATTCTTATGGAAACCTTGGGCAGAATCTTAATGTTTTCTCTAGGTCTTATGTGAAAGTGTCACAGGAATGGGGAGATTTCTGCCTGTCGCTCTGAAAAATGTTTGGAGGAAGGAGAATCGCATCTTTCACTCATAGAGAAACACAAGCAGAAACGTGTAGCAACATTCTCTTGCCTCTTGCTGGTTCTGTACTTAGGAAATTAGCTGGACTAAGTGCAAGGGAGTAGTACAAGTTTATGTTGGTTTGCAATTTACCCAGCTAGGTTTGCCTGATCCTAATTACAACGCACATAGGTAAGCATTAAAATTTAGATTGCAGTTTCAGATTTTAGTATTTTAACTTTGTGGTCTTGTTTGGTTCTTTTGTTAAGAAGATTGAAATCTTAAGTTGTTGTTATGCATTGAAGAAATGTTGACATTTTGTTCAAAGAAATTTGGTAGAATATGACATTTGGTGATTTTTGAGAACTGGTTATATTTTTTAATACAAAAACGAATAGGTACTTTGTCTTAGGGCAGGAGTTTTTTAAATACTTATACATCCAGGGTTTGAAAACATATGATGTTATGTTCTGGAAGCAGTTTACAGTGATGATTTCAGTTCCTGAAGTGACATAAGTAACATCCTCCTGACTGCCCAAGTATGAACACAGGACATCAAAAGTGGTGTGCATTTCAGATTATTAGCTGTCTACCTTTAACTTACCTTACTGAGCTTTATTGATTTGACAACGCTGTCTTCCCCACCATCCAAAAGAGATTTGAGCATGAACTTGTCTAGGCTTTGTCTTAATTTTTTTTCTTTGTAAGATTATAAGTAATCATATTTTCATATCCTTTATCAGCTGCTTCTATGTTTGTGGAACTGTGGGGTTTTGAGAAATGGACGTGGAGTGTTGGAGCTCACACTCCTCTGACTCGCACCCTGGGTGTTTGGTGTTCTAGAGTAGTATTTCTGGAATCCCAAACAGTGGTATGCTGAGTGAAGTCTGGTCCATCTTAAAGTCACGAGGTGTTACCTGTTAACTGCCATGTGCCCAAAATTTCCACTTTTCAGTGCACAGGCAGGGGCAACCTTCACAGCATAATACAAGTTAAATAACCTTTCTTCTTTGCCTTCTGCAGACACTGTGACTGATGAGAGTTAAAGGCCATGGATGAAGATGGGCTTGAATTGCAGCCACATGAGCCAAATGCATTTTTTGATCCAACAGGTCTGTCAGGAGATAATATGTAGATAAGAGTATTCACATTCGATGCTATTGACTGTTTGTCATTTATTCTGTCTTTGCTGAAAAGTGCTATGCTGCATCAATCTTTTGTGTAGAGTAGTCGCTTCCGATTTTCAGTTGTTTTCATTACTCGGGGCAATATGAATGAGCAACGGTTCTGTCAAGTAATAGTTGGATATTGGGGGAGAGTCTAAAAATTGGTAACCTTTTCCAGGAGAGAAAATGTTGTTCATCCTGAGTTATGTTAGCATCTACTGAGGACTTGCTTTATCAGCTCCCTATATACCTGCCTATCTTAATTGCTTACAGGCTATTATACCTCTTTTACTAAATTGCAGCATAGTGTAAAAGTTGAAGTAAGATAGAAGTAATTTCAATTATTAACTGCTTCATCTGAGTTAGTTTTGCAGTTTAACTGCTATTTTAATTCTGTTTTTCAGGAGCTGATGCAGGACATATGGATGGAGATCAAATTGTTGTGGAAGTACAGGAAACAGTATTTGTTTCAGATGTAGTCGACTCAGATATAACCGTGCATAATTTTGTTCCTGATGATCCAGATTCTGTAGTAATCCAAGATGTCATTGAGGATGTTGTTATTGAGGATGTTCAGTGCCCAGATATCATGGAGGAGCCAGACGTTTCTGAAACTGTCATTATTCCTGAACAAGTGCTGGACACAGACGTAGCTGAAGAGGTTTCTTTGGCTCATTGCACTGTCCCAGATGATGTTTTAGCTTCTGACATAACAGCAGAAGCAATGTCTATACCAGAACATGTACTGACAAGTGAGTCAATGCATGTACCTGAAGTTGGACATGTAGAACATGTAGTTCACGATAACGTTGAAGAAGCAGATATTGTCACTGATACTCTGGGAACAGATGTTGTTTCTGAAGAAGTCTTAGTGGCAGACTGTGCATCAGAGGCAGTGATTGATGCCAATGGAATCCCTGTGGAACATCAAGAGGAGAAGGGCAACTGTGAAGATTACCTTATGATTTCCTGTAAGTATCTGGGTAAAGCCACTGAAATTCTTATGATACGGGCCTGGGTGGTGCTTTAAATACCCGAGGAAGGGCTTACAACAGTACCAAAACCGTATTTTCTGTGTTATTTAATGAAATGCAGATCTCACAAATGTACTCAGATGGTGGTATCTTAGGAACATGTACCAGCTAAAAATTCTGGTGAAACTAATGTAGAGAAATACTGGCAAATGCATGTCTGATTATAAATTATTTCTGTGGCATTTTATAGCATATGAGCAAAAGAGTAAGAATTCCAGTAAACTAAATGCCATATAGTTAGTAAGAACTGAAAGAAAATAAATGTGACATTGTTCGAAAACGCACGTATGCAGGTTACTAAGATTACGGCAAAGACATTAAGAGAACAAAAAAAATTCTTTCATGGAAAAGGGAAAGTAAAAAAACCCCTGTTTTTTGGAAGTCAAAATGACAATTTATCCTTGTCTTGTTTTTTGCTAAGCCCGCTCCCCTTCCACCCCATTTATAGTTAGATACGGGCAACAATAGTTTTCATTGTTGTTAGGATGTGTTTTCTTCTCTTGATTAAGCAAAGGACAGAGGTATGCTCCTAACAAAAAGAGTAGCTGTTGCTGCTCATAGCTGAGAAGCAACTGTGAATACCTTAATCTCCCTTAGGAACAGTGGCACAATCCATTTGAATCATATTTCAGAAGACTTTAAAGTAGAGGGTGGAGAAAACCAGCATATCATCAGTCCTTTTTCTACTGAGGATATCCATTTGTGCAAACTAGAGCTTAATCTAAGTATGTTACTTATTACAATGCTTGCTCAGTGCAGCACCTAGGAACATCACAGTGTCACTGCCGAACATTTGTTTGTCATAGAAATAGAAAAGATTTGTGAGGCTGGTTTGTTTAATTGCCATTTCAGGCGCTTCAATTTTGTCTAGCGTTAAATGACTCCATTGATGAGGTATACTTCATGCTCTGCTTCAGTTACCTTTTTTTTTCTTTTCTTTTTTTTTTTTTTCTCCTTTGGACACTTTTTTGAAATGTATAATAACTTGTTTTAATTTTATATTCTGTACTTATGGATTTTAATGTTGCTTCTCCTTACCTAGGATCACTGCATTTCTTAATTTATCATCTCTTGAGTTCCTTGAGTAACCTTGTGCAGCCATGTTTTGAGTTTATATGAGGTACAGTTAATTCTCTATTATCTGGGAAAACAATGAAATGGGATAATGCAAAATATGGATAACAAAATATTGTAAAATTAAGCTGCAAGATCATACTGAGGTGACATAGATCAGGGATGCTGCTCTCTGAGATAGTATTTATCCAAACTAGTAAATGCACTCTGTGTACATTATGGTACAGGTAAAACTTTCTCATTCTGGACTCAAGTTAGATCAGATGAAAGCATCTCAAATGCTTCTGCACCTGCAGCATAGTTAGGTAACAAAGTGGATAATCCACCTATGGATAATTGACTGTATAAATACTCTGGTGGTGATCCTTACCTGTTTCATGTCCCTGACTGTAGCTGTTTACAATGCTGTTGCTCCTCTCTGTTCAGCCTTCCCCTGCAGGTTGTCATCCTGCAGCATGGGCAGCAGAGTGAGGCCTCTGGGGCTGCTGTCATAGGAACACTTTGCAAACTGTGTCTGTGGAAATTCAAGTGAGACGGTTGGGTAGATAGATGTCCCATTCAACCATTGCCAGTGGCTGAAAGAAGTCAGAATGTCTTCGTAGATGCCATATTGCATGATCCCTAAAATACCCACCCAGCTAGGAAGTCTTCTTAGATGTACCAGTTGTCAACAGGTGGTAACTGGCAGAAAACACAGGAGTTCAATTGTTCAGTTGTGCTGGGATAGTCTCAATTTCAGTCATGTATTTCTGCAGTTTCATGCTTTATTTAATATTAAATGCCTCTTGATAGTCTTGCAATATACTTTGCTTAGGACCTTAAATAAGATAGCATTTAAAGCAATTGTTATGCTACAAAACATACAATCTTTCTATTTGTGTTTAAAATGTTAAGTATGCTCTACAGTTCATTTTAAAGGGAAGTTCCCTATTACCACCTACTGTGTTTAAAGCCTGCATAACAAGTTCTTCTGGTTGTGAAGTCAGACTCTAGTGCTTTTCCATCAAGTAAAGACTATCTTGCCAAATAGTCTCTTCCATGTATGAAAAACATCATTTGACTTTTCCTTTTTTGTTTTTTTTTTTTTTTTGCATTGGCAGTATATGTGTTTATTGATCTGTTGACTGTCTCAGTTCTTCAGTTGAACTTAGTATTAAGTGGTTTTTAAAAGGTAGTAACATCAGCCTAGTTTTTGATTTTTTCATCCTGACCTGTAAATTTGTGCTCGATTCTGGCAAACCTAACTGCTAGGATATATGTTGGAATGTAATTTTCTCTGCCATTATAGTATCTGCTTCCCAGATCTGGGAGCTAGACTGTGTTCTTCAGGCTGCGTTTGCCTATCTTCTTTTATCTAGTCACTTACAAAGCAGGGGATGACACTTTGTTCTTTCTGTCATAGGTTTCTCAGTCTATATTCTTCAGTGGAGGTTATTAGCAAAATCTTTTTGCTGTCTTCTGCCTATCTTGTGGCTCTCTTTAAGTGTTTCCATTTTTGTTCCTAATGAACTGAGTCTACATAGATTTTCTTAAAATAAGGTAATTTTCTTAGCTTTATCCTGAAAGTATTTGTTTTGAAAGGGCTAATCTATGTACTTCTTTTGATGTTGTATTTCTACCTTCTTTCTTGATTTCAGACTGGTTTGTCTTTTTAAAGAGTACTTGTGGGTTTAATTCTGTGACTTTTCTTCAGTAAACTCAGTATTTTAGTATTTCTTTTCCCATTTGGATTTAATTTAGTTTCTGCATTGTTATGCCTTTGTTTTTTTCATTTCCAAGATAATGTTTCTTGGCACAGCTTATGTTATTGCTTACCTTTTGATGTACTCAGCTTTTTTTCTTGGATACTGTTGTCTTTGCCCTCAAGCTTCATTTTTGATCCATGGTAGATTTGGGGCACATAATGGCAGAGCAGAATCAGATATTCGTTCAACAAAGACTGCAAACTGCTACTAGTTAGTAGCTGGAAAAGGATTCAAGGAAACCAGTTTTTCTTTCACATGTGCCATAACAAGCCAGTCCGTGAGTTTGGTCAGGAAAGGATAAATTGTGTTCTGGCTCACACTGGTACTAATTATTTGGTAGCAAATTTGAAGGCTTGGAAAATCGTTTCTCTGTAAGTGAAACAGTAATGGTGAGATTAGCTAGTGTTTGCCAAAACAACACCACCCCCCTGCCCCAGCATTTACTAGCCAAGGAAAGTAGTGCCTTGCACCTGGCCGTAAGATGGAAATTAAGATTTTTTGCTTGTCTGATTTATTTGATTTAGCAAAGTAAGACACATACTCTGAGTCTGACACACAGAGTACATCAGTTGTACTCTGATATACTCGTATTTAATTGCAGTAAGAATGGTGAGGCATTAAAGAAGTTTGACAAGGGGAGTCTGGAGAGAGGGAAGAGTACCCTCACAAAGTTTAAGCTGCAGTTTTAGGAAGTTATATGATGTTTGCAAATAGAGAGGAAAGACGTTTGCAGATATGTGCATCCGTATCCTTACTTTCCTCTGAGTTAGACATGTCTTTTGTTTACTGTATCTGAATTAACACTTTTCATTACAAGAGTCAGAACCCAGGGTACTCAAAGAGAGAGAATAATGATTGCATCTTTTCATACGTCTAGGCGAAACCTGTCTTTTCTTATCCTTGTTGGATGTTTAAGTTGAAAGCAATGGATCTGATCAACAAAGCCATAAAGTTCTTGCCTTCATTAAGGCCATCCAGTAGACTTCTAGTCAAGAAAACAAAATGCTTTTATTTGCTTTTTTAGCATAAATAAGTACCTCCCTCTTTTTCCCTGGAGATTCTTAAAGATGCAGGAAGTAACGTTTTTTCTGTGAGGTAGAACTTGCTGCCATGCTTCTGGCGGATTGCTGGAATGGCAGGAACAGTTGTTGCAGCCGAGGCTGCTCAGGAGTTCACAGTGAGAGGTGGGGGAGATGAGAGTTTCCCTGAGCTGAGTGATGCCTCAGAGCTTCATCTGGTTTGTGTGCTGGGAGAGCAGGGTGAGAGGGACAAGTGTTAGATCCCAGTTTGGAGCTCAGGAAGTTCTCCTCTGCTAGATTGCTGCCCTGAGGGGAGCTTCAGGCGCATAGGATGTGCTGTTGCTCATGTGTAATGGCAATGGCATTAAAATAGAACAGGTTTCTATTTTCTCACAGGTTAGGAAACCTGCTTTGCCATTTAAGAAATAACTGGACGGTAAAAATAACTTCTTCAGTGGTCTAGGAATTCTCTGCCATCAAGTGAAGTACAAGTGAAATGTTTCTATCACAGATAACAAAGTCTGTCTGGGGAATACAGCATGCTTTTAATCTATTTTAGAGAAAACAGAATAGTTAGCAGTGTCCTTTTCCATTAAGAATGGTTAAATAGGGTTGTTTGTTTTGTAAGCAGGCAAGTACCCCATGATACGCATTTTTTTAGCAGGGAAGAGAATCATTTGGGGACATAGAGGCTGATGACCTAGATGATTCTTGTCTGATTGCTCCACAGACAGATTTTAAGATCTGTTAAACTGCTGTAGAGACAGACTTTTTCTTAGAATGTTTCTAAGCACTGTTTCAGTGTGTTATTTAGCAATGAGCAGTGTGTACTTGAAGATGGAAGGTATCTTAGTGCTTAGGTGAATTTTATCTTTTACAGTCCTTTTATTTTCCTCATTTAATCACAGATAAAGGAGGAATGGTAGGAAAGAACAAATACAAAAGCTTATGGAAACCATTAAAAAAATAAAGACAGTTACAGATATTTGCATTTTTTCTAGTTAGGAGTAAAAGACTGCAAGGCTACAAAGTGTATCTGCTGATCCATTAAATATTGGGTATAAAAAACTAAAACCAACCTCTTGAGGAAAGTGTATATGTCATGGTTAAATAAAAGATGTACCATTTAAGCAAATGCAGGATCTTGGTCTAGCATTCATGTTCCTATATGGGGAAACTGGCCTCAGCTGGCTTTTAAGTATTGTTTTTATTATCAGTGCACAGGAGCTTGTTTCTGTCCCAAAAATGCCATTGGATGTATTTTAATAGAAGGATAAAGATACAGGAGATAATTATTGATTGGATACTATAGCTTATGACATTATATGATTTTTTTCATTAGGTGTAATACTTTTAGGAGAAAAATGCTGTCTTCATAATAGAACACATTAAACAATCCATTGTTCATGTTGCCTCTTTTATTTCTTTGCTTTACTCTTTATTCCTTTTTTTATCTGTTGGTCTCTTTTTGTTGATTTCCTTGTAATGTAAATAGTAACTAGACAGGCTTTAAATATGCTACATCTTTCGTGTTGTGTGACACTTTTCTCAACTGTTCGTGCTTTTAATAAAAAAATCAAGCATTGTCTTTATATGGAAGCAATTATTGCAACATTGGCGAAGCGCATACTTTTTTTAGCTGTTTCCTACAGCTCATAGTATGCAAAGAGCAGGCTCCTCTGATCAGCAAAGTCTGTGAAGAACGTCAGCAAACTAGCCATAGAATGTTGCAATTTACATAACATAATGTGTCTAATAATTTTTCGCTTTTTTTTTTTACTTGGAGAATTAGTCTGAATCTACTTGTTTACTGAAGTAAAGCTACCAGCTAGTAGAGGGGGGAAGAAATAATACATTTAAACTTTTTAGTGTTCAGTTAATATCATTAAATGGAGGCACAAGTGACAGCATTGGACTAATGCTGGCCTGAACTTTTTTCTGTCATCTAAATTGTGATTAGTTTAATAACTGCCCAGGGTCCCTACTTGAAAGGGAGTGGTGTCTTTTAAGCTTAAGTAATACATTTAAAGTTGGGTTTTTTTGTTGGGTTTTTTTAATGTTTGCTTGGTTTTGTTTGTTTTGTTTTTTAATTTCAAAGAGGAACAATGTGAGAGAAGATCAGTCATGCGTGGTATTTGTGAGATCCCTTGATGGGCTGTGAATTTGAATGAATTCAAACATCAGAGTTCCAACTTCAAACATTGATCAGTCAAGTATTTATGAATATCATTTTCTCTGTGAGACTGAGATATGTGGAGAATGCAGAAACATAAGGAAAGTGTTAAATAGAAATCAAATGTCATAAATGCTGCCAGAGCATCAATGAATCTATATAGATAAATGCTTACGTAGCTATACAACAAAATACCGTGGAGATGGTGCTTTGTGTGATATATATCTATTCTCTTTCACCTGCTTTGTCTCTTTTTCTGATTTTTATCTTTCTTCTACCTTTTCTGTTCCACCCTATCTTTCTTCCTGTTACCTGTTTGCTACTATACTGCAAATACTATTACTTTTCAAGCCCTTCAGGGAGTTTAGTTTTTCAAGTATTACCACCTGTCAAGAGTGAAATTTTTCCCTTTTGGATGAGAAGAGTTGGCCTAATATTCCTACACATCAGTTTCCTAACAGTTTAATGGATTGTTAAAAAAACTGTTAAAAATATTTAGATTAGTTGTTACATTTTAAAAACACTGTTGAATATAGAGGGAATCGGGGATAAACAAACTCTAAATTGTATAACAATTTTTTTAATCATGTTGTTTAAAAGATTACTTTGAACCTTGGAGAACTTACTTCAAAGAGTAAATGGAATGTTTTTTTAAGATCTAGAATTCGTCTGTTGTGTGAGTGTTATCAATGGATACTTCTATATATGTATGGAAGTAGAAAAACCTCGGTTTTGGCTAAAAGAAACCAGTCTGTTTCACATTGGTGCACGTAGGTTTGTTTTCTCTTTGATTGCTTCAGCCATAATTTTCCATCCTTGAGTATGTTCCAGCATCAGTTGAGCTTGGTGGCAGACTTCCCCTTTGGCTTCAGCAGTGTAAAATCAGTCTAGGCTGATTTGAAAGCCTTCCAAGTACACGTGCGTGACACTGGAAACAGCCAAGTTAAAAGGAGAACATCTACATAAATTTAGTGTAGGAATTAAAACAAATTTTCTTTTTGTCAGAGTTCCAGTGACGTTTGGTGTTTCATGCATATGCCAAAGAATTTATGAAAGTCTGCTCAATAGCTGAATATATGTACTGTGGAGCTACATTGTTAACACGACTTAAAAGAACGTCTTAAAGTTCTTACTGTTGAAATGCTTTGGGGTTTCAGCTGCAAGACGTTAATGTTGTCCTGTGACACAGTATCATTGTTTAAGCATCGTACTGCTTGAAACATTCTGTACAATGGCCGTTGGTCATGAACTTGGCATAAGAGTATTTAATGTTTTTTCTGCTGCTTTTTTGGTGAGGAGATAGATTAGTTTATTTTAGTGCTTCATAATTTAATATCACTCCTATTTCTTTGTGAATAATGATGCTTGATTGAGAAATTGTACTTAAATACAGTTGTATTTGATACATGAGACAGAATATGTGTTAGTTTATCTTATTTAAAGGGTAATTTATTGACTTCATGGCAGGAGAATAATAGTAATAATGGTTTGTGTTTGTTTTTTTTTTTAAGTAGATCTTAAAGTCAATGGAAGAGCTGCAGTTACTGAGTAGTTAAGCTATGGTTTAGTTTTGAGGGTAGTTTAATGAATGCCGGTAAAATAAACATACTTCATTAAGTATTTTTTATGTGCTAGGCGTGGTAGCCTAATTCTACAGCATTTATAGGACAGTTCTTACATTTCCTTTAGTATAAATGTCATGTCGTCTTGTCATGAATTGGAGTTATGCGTGGCCCTGAGGGAGCCATGTCAGCCTCTATAAGTGACTTTATAAACAATAAAGTCACAAATTACAAAAGTATGCCATCATGTTAAGAATTCTTAAATAATCTCAATACTCAAGAAACTTCTGAGGCTTCTGAAATTGGGACATTCTCTGAAGGTCTTGAGATGCTGGATTTTATTTTTGTGAATGCATGTTTAGTATTTATTTCTTGAAAGCCCATGCTTGGTAAAGTAAGATGGTGTGTGAGTGCACATGCCTATGTGGAGTATGTCTTAAAAATCAGAAATGTGTTCCTCATAAAGCTGGCTGTTAGCCAGGTTTATGTGGGAGGCCTAGGCAAGTTATGGCAATTCAAACTGAAGCATGGTGTTGGTGCACTTCTGCAAGGAGGAGAACAAAATTTGAGACGATAGGAAAGAGAGTATATAGGACTACAGCATAAAATGCAGTGCAAGACCCTTTCAGTAAGGGCACCGTGAGCAATCAGTTGAATAGGTTCACCAGTGCTGTAGCATCAAGGCAGCGCTTTGACACTGTGCTTGATCCCTCAGCTGTGGAGCGGGTGAGAAAAGTGGAGGGTTTTCTTCCTGTAGTTTTCATTTAGGTTTCCTCTCTTGTCAGATGAAGGAGCTTCAATAACACTGCTTTGCAAGGAACCAGGTCTGACTGGCAGAAGTAGTACTGCTTGCCTTAGAGACAGGGTTGAGCACAGATAACGCTTTTGAAAAAAGCAGTTAATAGCTTATTAGTTGTGAAGGAGAAAGCAATTAAAACTGAGAATAACTGAAATTATGCCACAGAGTAAGTACGAATGTGTAGTTTCTTCCTACCATCATCCTGCTGCAGATCACTGTTTCCCTATTAGTATTGCCTGGTGTGGTGCTCATGTTTCTAGTTGTATCACTGCAGCAATCTTGCTCTTCCCCCGTAACTAGAAGATAGAGCTTGAATTTCTTTCTGTGTTTATTGTCATTGTTTTCAAGGACATGAAAAAAATATTTATGGGTAGGTTCTTTATCACAACATAATTTTAAACTGCTTCCAAACTTGAATAATAATGTAATAAAGTCTTTCGTATATGTCTGTCTGTGTATGACTGGATAATTGTAATAATTTGTTTTTGTAGTGGATGATGCTGGTAAGATAGAACACGAAGGTTCTGCTGAAATTACCATGGAAGCAGAGTCAGAAAGTGGCTCGTGTAAAGTGGATGGCATTTGTCCAGAAGTCATCAAGGTCTATATATTCAAAGCAGATCCTGGAGAAGATGATTTAGGTAAAATACGCTCATTTTAGAATACCCTAACTTGACATTTGAAATTTTGCATAATTAGAGACTGTGGTTTCTCTCAAGTCACCTGTAAAGAGCTGTGGGTCTAAATGTTAAAGAGTTACACACTTCCAGTTTTCTGCAGTTTAGCATAGGATTTGAACAAAGTGTATTTAAAATATTTTGCTCTGGTTTTCCTAATTAGGGGGCACAGTAGACATTGTCGAGAGCGAGCCAGAGAATGACCACGCAGTTGGATTACTTGATCAAAATAGCAGTATTCGTATTCCAAGGGAGAAAATGGTTTACATGACTGTAAATGATTCTCAGCATGAAGATGAAGACTTAAGTAAGTAGGTGGCTTTCGTTTGGGAACAGGGGTTTTCACTTTCAACAGTGCAGTGTTCCTATTAATTTTTTCTTGACTTCTTTTTCTCTTAGATGTTGCAGAAATAGCTGATGAGGTTTATATGGAAGTGATTGTAGGAGAGGAGGATGCAGCAGTGGCCCATGAACAGCAGATTGATGACACTGAAATTAAAACTTTCATGCCCATAGCTTGGGCAGCAGCTTATGGTAGGTAACATTCAAAGAATTCTTCCTGGTGACACTGTCTATAGCAAAATGTCTGAGATTTGTGGAAGGTAGTGTAGTAGTTGTGCTTTTGTGTTTGTTTTAAAGTTTTAGTTTAAGAATAGTTTCTTGGCATAATGAGCCTTAAAATTAGAAAGAGAAGAAGCAGCTGTAAGGCAGGCTTCTTCTTATTCCTATTTTAACAGGCATTTTCCTTCATATTTTCTTGATGTAGAAGGGGAAGTATATGAGCTTTCAGCTGAAAAATGGCATCTCAAGTACATCTATCCTTCACAGTTTGAGGACACAATCAGAGCTGGCTTGGGAATAGAACTGAATATTTCTATTTGGGGGTAAAATAAAAGCAAATGGGAATAAGTAAGATTCAGTGTAATAGTGAAAAGCAGCACTAACCTACCTCTAGCCTGATTTAAATCCTTTCTAGATGAACATATAAATACATAATTTCACTAATGGAAATAATTGAGTAACAAAAAAGAAGATGGAGGGACACATCTTAAAATTATAGCAGAACCTTGAGAATATTTCCAGCATGCAGAGCCATTTTTCTTTGTCGTTAGTATCTGAGCACCAACTGGTGCACAACTGATTTCCCAAACTTATGTAAGCTGATAGACCAAAATCTAGTTGTAGAAATTTTTCCATATTGCCCTGTTCTCCTTCTAAACATAATTTGAGTAAACAAAGCAGAAGAAATAGTGGAGTAGAGGACAAAACTTAGGTTTTATATCTGCATTATGTGCATTGTGGTGATGGTGCCAGCAAACAAATGGCAGGGAAGTGCTGAGAATGCGATGGGGGCTGGAATCACAAATGTAAGTCAAGGGAGGGCAAGATTTCAGGGAGCAGCGTGTGTTAAATGTTTAGGAGATGGATGGTAGTACACCCAGAGCCTTATCTTTGGCCGTACACTGGTGAGCACAGTTTCAGTGGAGAGGAAAGGACAGAAGCCAGGTTGAGTGTGAATTAAAAATGCGATTAAATGAACTCGAAACAACAGTTGTAGACTGAACATTCAGTGATTTTGAAGAAGGAGGAGAAAATTGAGCAGAGTGTATTAAGAACAGAGAGATGGAATTGAAAGGAGAATTTAAGAATGTGGGAAACAGTGTAGTCATTGCATTGTCAGCAGTAAGCACCCTAACATGCAAGGTGAGAGGTGGCGGGGAAGGGAAGAAATAGCGAAGCATGAAGGCATAAAAATTGCAGAGTTTTGTGGTCTGCACTTCTCAGAACTCTTCTCCACTTAAAAGAGGGTTTAAGAGCTGATAACAATGGCATCTTAAAATGCCAAAATTTGTTTTGTTGCTGTATTGTAGCAAAGCACAGTCCCACTGTGCTTTACATTCCAGAAAGATTTTGCAATTTTATTCTAGTATTGGAAAATGTTTGGGGCCTGTTCTGTTATACTCTAGAAGCACTCTTCATGCACTTGCTGCAAACTGTACTTTCTACATCTAAGATGTGAAACTGGTTTTTGTTTTCAATGTTTGTCACTTGCCACATTTGCTGTTCAATGCTTGAGCTAGCATATGGATCAGAATCTTCAGGCTCTGCACATGCCTATTCCTGGCTCTGAGTCTTCTTACATTAATCATGAATATTCATTCTCGGTACTCTACAAAGGGAACAGCTATTGAGCATCTTGCACTTTCTTCCTCTTCAATTTTCCTGTCTTATTTGTCTGCTTTGCTTTCACTAGGACCTGTTGCCTTCCATTGATTCAAGTAAATACTTAACCACAAAATTTGTTATTCAGAATTTACTTATGCCCTTCAATCACCAATGTTAAACTGATTGCCAGTAAATACCTTCACAAATATATAGATATATTTACCTGTAATTTTCATGTTTGTTTTACATCCAGTGATACCATTTGTGTATTAAACACGAAGCTCTGTGCGGCAAAGATTGTTTCTTTTCTATTATACGATACTGAGCATGCCTTTTGTTCCCAGTAGAAAGAATTTGTAAGTGTTAAAGCATCAGGTGTGCAAATAGTAAGTAGTGTACTTTGTATGCAAGGTTATGGGCTGTTCAGAGTGATTCTTTGATCGCAGTTCCAGTTCTGAAACTTGCTGTGTGAGAAACTTCAGTCAGGTGAATTCAGATGTCCAGAAGGGAACGGGAGTTCACACATGAATGTAGTTCAGGACTGGGAAGAAAATAGGGCACAGTAAATATTATGTCATACTATTGTTTACTGATATTAAACATTTTGAGCATAATTAGCAACCGAAGACATGCAAAAAATACTGCATTTAAAGGAGAATTCTGTGTGAAATGGAAAACCATTAATTCCTGTAAATTGTGTACTCCTGTAAAATTAGTTTAACAAAGGCAATTCTTCTAGGTTCGTAATACCAAACATAATTCATAAGTTACAACAGAAAGAGAAGTTTTGCAGCTCATCCTGTACATTATTATGGTTTGATTAAATGACCAGATAATAGTTTATCATTTCTTTTATTATCCTTGTAGAGTTTGTTGCTCTAATAATCTGTAGAGTGATAATGGTAGGTAACTTTTTAACTTACCTTGTTAGGTAATAATAATGATGGCATTGAAAGTCGGAATGGCACTGCAAGTGCTCTTTTGCACATAGATGAGTCTGCTGGACTTGGGAGACTGGCTAAGCAAAAACCAAAGAAAAAAAGGAGACCTGAGTCTAGGCAGTATCAAACAGGTGAGTATCTGGTGGCTGGCTATAGTTTTGTTCCTCCAGGCACCTATCCATAAAAAGACATACTTTGCTGATAGCATGTGCAATATCTTGTAAAAAAACAGTGATTATTTTGGGAATTATTTTGTTGACAACACTTCTACATCATAAATGAGTGAATATTTTATTTTAAAGTTTTTAAATACATAGCTGGTTTGGATTGTGGGGAGTGTTTCAGAAGAAACCATCTCTGACATAGAAAAAAACAGTATTATAGCAAAAGGTTAAAAACCTATGTACTTAACTTGCCACACCAATTTTAGTGTTTAATGTAACTTTTTTAAAGGTGATGTTAGATAAACAGTGTTCTGTAATAGTACTTCTTAAAAATGCTTTTGGTCTTTATTGAAAATATATAGAACAATACTTACTGAGCTGATATAATGAAATGTAACTGCAAAATCTGAACGTTGTATGTTACAGTAGGTAGTGTAACTTCTATATCCTTCTCTGGTTTAATTGTGAAATAAATTGCCTTGAGGTTCACGGCAATCTTCTTACTTGCATCTGTAAGAACAGATGTGCTTTTTTGGCATTATTTGGTTCTGCTGTTACTGCGTGTTATGGTCTGAATGATTTATTTGGTCTGATAAAGTTGAAAAGCACGTGACTGTTTTCTTTAGTAGCCTTGCCTTAAATGATACTAAAAGTTTCTTTCCAAATTGTGACTTAACTGTAGTTCTGTTTTGTCTAGCACTGAATTAGTAAACCAGGCAAATTTTAATCTTAAGGTTTGCTTTTTCTATTTCCAGCTGCTTAGTCAGTTCTCCTTCTAAAACATTTTTGGGAAAGAGAGCTTTTTAGCATGCCTAGACAAATTCAAGATAAACAAATCAGGCTGACGTATGAGTGTAAATAAGTTCCAAAGCTTTGAGGTGTCCGTATGTGAAATGTATTCTCATTGATTCCTGCTTGATACCTCTTCAGATTGTAACTGTGACAGATGGCACAAGAAGGAGGTGTTAGTTTGGGGACTTGTGAATTGTAGTCAGCAGTAGGTGATGAAACTGCCAGATTAAACTTTATCTACAGATTTGTGGAAAGTCAGAGAAGATCCTGTGCTATACTTACTATGTAATACTCAGGTTGGCTGCTGCTCTTTGCACCAGCATTGGTTTCTGTGTGTATTTAACGTGTGAACTTGGTCAGAATTCTTCGAAGTAGAATTATTTGAGGTGCAGAACACCTGGGTGATGCTTTGGTGGTCTCCATCAAAAAACAGTATTTCCTTTCTCCTGATAACAGGAACGAATGAAAGTAGTAATTCCCTCAAAGTCAAGTAACAAGCTTGTTTATTATATAGTATAGTGTATGTGTCTGACTCTGATCTTACTTAACAATTCAGCTTACTGTTAAGGTTGAAATACGACATTTATTGAAGTGTAACATTGTTGTATAATATTGATGAAGGGCTTTTTGTTGTTTTTCAGCAATAATCATTGGCCCTGATGGTCATCCATTGACAGTCTACCCCTGCATGATTTGTGGAAAGAAATTTAAATCTAGAGGTTTCTTGAAAAGGCACATGAAAAACCACCCAGAGCACCTTCTTACTAAGAAGAAATACAGATGCACAGACTGTGATTACACTACGAATAAAAAAATAAGTTTACATAACCACTTGGAGAGTCATAAGCTGACCAACAAAACAGAAAAGCTTATTGAGTGTGATGAGTGTGGGAAAAGCTTCTCTCATGCAGGAACTTTATTTACTCACAAGATGGTGCACAGGGACAAAGGAGTTAACAAAATGCACAAGTGCAAATTCTGCGATTATGAGACAGCAGAACAAGGATTACTGAGTCATCACCTTTTAGCTGTCCACAGCAAGAACTTTCCTCATATTTGTGTGGAGTGTGGCAAAGGATTTCGCCATCCATCGGAGCTCAAGAAGCACATGCGAATCCACACTGGTGAAAAACCGTACCAGTGCCAATATTGCGAATACCGATCTGCCGACTCTTCCAATTTGAAAACTCACGTAAAGACTAAACACAGTAAGGAAACACCATTCAAATGTGATATTTGTTTCCAGACTTTTTCAGATACCAAAGAGCTACAGCAGCATACGCTTATGCATCAAGAAAGTAAAACACATCAGTGTTTGCATTGTGACCACAAGAGCTCAAACTCGAGTGATCTGAAACGACACATAATTTCAGTCCACACAAAAGACTATCCTCATAAGTGTGATATGTGTGATAAAGGCTTTCATAGGCCTTCGGAACTGAAAAAACATGTGGCGGCTCACAAGGGTAAAAAATTGCACCAATGCAGACATTGTGACTTTAAGATTGCAGACCCTTTCATTCTGAGTCGCCACATACTCTCAGTTCACACAAAGGATCTTCCGTTCAGGTGCAAGAGATGTAGAAAGGGCTTTAGGCAACAAAACGAGCTGAAAAAACACATGAAAACACACAGTGGCAGGAAAGTTTATCAATGTGAGTACTGTGAGTATAGCACTACAGACGCCTCAGGCTTCAAACGGCATGTTATTTCCATTCATACAAAAGACTACCCTCACCGTTGTGAGTATTGCAAGAAAGGGTTCCGAAGGCCTTCAGAGAAGAACCAGCACATTATGCGGCATCATAAAGATGTTGGTCTGCCTTAAAGTCTCTTTCACAGACTTACGGCTGGAATTATAAAGGAATTTTGCCTTTCGGGCAGTTAGCTTATTTTAAAGCCAATCACTTGCGATCACACACACACAAAAAAAAAAACAACAAAAAAAACATACTGTGCATTTGATTTGTTGCTGTATAAAAATAGGATTATTGCTTCTAGTTGACTTTTATACCTTTTGTTCAATAGCGTGTTCTGAATTCTATTCAGTTTGTTTAATAAATGAAGAAAAGATGGCAACAATAAAGTTGCATTTAATAAAGTAAACTCTGTCTCTTACTGAATTTTTCAACCGTAATAGTTTATTTAAGTATATTTATCTTACTGACCTCGTTAATACTCACAGTGTCCATGTTAATGCATCTTTGTCGTGAATTTTAAAAAGATTAAATTTCTCTTGATAAAATTGTCAGAGATGTGCATAAAATGGGGAATTGTGATGTTGAAGATGAAGTCGGTAGGGCTCACCTGATTGTCTTGTTTTGACTATACAGACTTTGTGGCAGGTTAACTATTGTCCGTTTGAGGAGTTACACGTCTAACTTTATTGCAGAGAACTATTCTGCGTTTTAATTCAGGTTTCAGAGGAAAATTTTTAAAAAGTGGTTTGGGGCATTTGTTACCTCTGTTTGGCAAATTCTAAAGTACGCTCAAATGTTATGTTGTTGTTCTGTGCTTCTTTGTCTTTGAAAGGTTTTGCGTCTTACAAATGAGTTGGGTTTTTTTCAATTTACTGCTGTCTTAATGTTGGAACGTAAAATACTGTTGTTCCATTTGCAGAGTTAATAGATCACAACTGTCTGTACGTGCTGGTAAACGTACTTCAAACCTACTGCTTTTATGTATATTAGTGTTTCTTTGAAAGAACAGTTTGTGTTTGAGTCATGTTTTTATTGTGAGTTGTTTTAGAATAAAATTTAAGACCAAGAGGTGCCTCGATTTTGGAAACGAGATATTTACAGTGAGAGCTTCAGAGGGGGATGGAGTGGAGGAGATGCATTCATAAGGAGTAGAGGTGTTTAAATGTAGATATCCTTAATAAGAAAAGTAACTTATGATAGTAACAGAACTCTTTCTAAACTGAATGTTTTTCCTGAGCCATTAGCAGCTATGTTAAGCTGCTGTTTATTAATTAGTACAGTATCCAGAATTAACCCAGTTCTTTTAATCTGTTTATAAACAGCTGGGAGAACATTACAATTATTATATGCAATTCTGCCACCTGAAGACTATTATAAAATAGCACTGTATCATTTGCTAATTGCAGCATAAATGTACAAAGCACGAAGTCACATACCTTAGCAACAACCGCAGAGCAAAAAAACCCAAACTATCTATTTAATTACATGCCAGGCTTTAGGGCCCGGCCCCTCTCCCCTTGCTCAAATTCTCACCAAAGCCGCTGGTTGATGATAGATTGCAGAATTTGGATCCGTCTGCCTGCTTAGGATAGATCTGTAACCAACAGCTCGCTAACAGAAAGGGCTCAGGGCCCAGCCCAGCGTTGGCTCTTGTTTCTAGGCAGGTAACTTCCTGTTGCAATGGAACAGGAATTTTGGGGATGATTTCAGGTTTGGGGTGGGAAAGGGACAAAGGTTTCCTTTCAGATGTGCATCTTCTAGGCCTTTTCTCTTTTGTTTTGTTACCTGCTCCTACTGCTCAGCCCTTCTGTTTCACTGTAAGCTGAAATACTTGTGTTGGATTTGCAGTTCAGTCGGATGCCGTGTCACTACCTTTACTGTGTAATGTTTTTTTTCTTTATTTCGATGCCTGCTTGGCAGTGCCCCCAGACTTGTCCAGCGTGTTCTTGTACAATATTGCTACTAACGGGCCGTGAACCTTTAGTGTGTCATGCCTAGGTGCGCTGCACTGTGCCTTCGTCAAAATCCCCGGTGAATTCAGTGGATTTTCTACATGGCCGTAGCTGTCTGTTGCCTACTGCTTGCCAAATCAGATGCAGTAAAACCCGATGGAGATTTTCCATTCGTGTCTTGCAGAGTGTACCCTCCTGCGACTTTTTTTGTTCCCCCTCTTACCTTCAAGCATTTTCTAACTGGAAACCTGAAAAGCGTACAAAATTTGCATAAATTCCCATAGCGTTGCCGAGGATTTTAGCCATTTTGAACTTTATTTTTTTAAATAAGCTGAAAGACAAAGAACACAATTTTACACATTTTCTTTCTTTTACGTAGCCTGGAATCATACGCGCTTTTTTTTTTAAAGCACAATGTTGAAACTTTTTTTTTTTTTTTTTTAATAATTAAGGGTTTGGTCAAGTGGATTTTGTAAAATGTATTTGTCTGTATAAAGAGAAAATGAAATTATAGTTACTGTTAATGTACTGACATTAGTTACAGGTTAGTTTTAATTCTTAAATAATTTGCTTAGCAAATGCTATAAAATGGATGTTTCAGTTTAATGTTTAAAAAAGGTACAGATTTTTACAAGGACATAATATAAATTATTGTTCTGTAGAAAATACCCTGTTAAATATTGTATACGTCCTTCCCTCTGTACACTTTGTAAAAAAGACAAAAGAAAAAAACAAAATACATAGAATCATATAGGGATGTGTGACATTATTGTAATTGTGTACTTGATAATAACGTGAAAAAATAAAATTCAAAATATTTTCCTGTTAATGAACTTTCAGTCTATTTGATGCCAGTACTGAGATCCAGCGTTGTTGTGAGGGACACGGTCATCAGCAACTCCAGTGCACTTCAGCTTGTTTCTCTGCTCCCTGTTTTTCAGCTCATTTTGTGTCGGGCTGGGGTGCGGGTGATTCAGTCCCCCGTTTCGTTGAGATGTACCTTTACGCCAAAGTCTGCAAAAGTGAAAGCCAGGGGTGGCAGGTCTTCAAAATCCGTTCTAATGCCTGCTTTTATCTGGAAGGGTCCGTGTCTGGTAAACTTCGTACAATGCCGTAATGTTTCTCAGCGAGGTGGTTACCTGCTACGTGCTACTACCCTGTCCCAAAAAGCCCCCACCAAACCTCGACGCGCACGAGGTGTGCCGCTGTCGTCGGAACTCTCGTAATAAAATGTGTCTGCCGGAGCCTCTTCTCTCGGCGTGTGAGCCCCCGGGGGCGCGGGCGCTGCCCGCGGGGCT